CAGTGCTTATCCTACACTACGGACGCCCTAGTGTATGCACAGTCCTTATGATGCCAGAAATGCCTACCCCTCTTTGCAGCACAAGGCATACATAAGCGGGGGGTAAATTTACCCCCCAGATTTGCAATAACCATACACCGGCTATTTCCTCAAGACACTCTATTCCATATACCTTTTACCCGTGCTTCTCCTACACTACGGACGCCCTAGTGTATGTACAGTCCGTATGATGTCAGAAATGCTTGTCCCTCTTTCCGACTCAAGGCATACAAAAGCGGAGGGTAAATTTACCCCCCAGATTTGCCGATCACGCATCTTCGTGCCTGCCAACGAGTGCACCCGGGTTGTTCCAATATACCCTTCCCAGTCAGCGATGTCACATTTACATTCTTTAGCGCAAAGTATGTACATAGCAACCTTCCTCCCAAAACATGTAATCCCTACATGCTTTGCCGACTATGTAACTAGTACATCCGGTGCGATTCGGCTAGCTTTCGACCTCTCCCCTGGCCTCAAGTGATTGCTTAGAGGAATTTAGATTTTGGTGGGGATGAATTTTGTGATATTGTAATATAATTGATGACGATTAATTTATTTTTAATATATGGATTTTTGATGGCCATTGAATTAATAATCGGCCAGGAGGTGTGTGTGTGAGTTCTTTGGATTTATAGGGATTCTGTTGGATTATATTACTTTATAATTCTTTTAGTAGGGGAATTATTCGCGAATTTGATTGATAATCCAATGAAGAGAGTCAAATTCTATATTGATATTTTATTTGATTCGTCAGATGTATTTGCAATTTTATTTGAGAAAATTTATCGTGGACCTTATTTATAATTAGAATAAGATGTCTAGAAACAGACCGAAATAGATAGACAGGCCGACCGAGACAGACAGATCGAAACAGACAGACCGAAACAGACAGACCGAGAACGAGACAGACCAAGACAGACAGACCGAGAGCGAACACAAACAGACCGAGACTTATAGGCCGAGCCAGACAGACCGACCGAGACAGACAGAGCAAGACAGACAATTACAGACGATTGATATCGTACGTGTGTTCGTCCGCGTATCCTGCCCGACCGAGACAGACAGATTGACAGACCCGAGACAAACAAACTAACAGACCGAGACAGACGCACCGAGACAGACAGACTGAGACACGCTTGAGCCCGGTATTTCCTCCCAGCTCCAGGGGCATAAGTTGTTAGGGGAGAGGGTATCTGTCTCAACCGTGTTTATAGAAAGTTCTTGTTTCCATCGGTTCGTTATCGGCAGATGTACATTGTCGTTTTGGATGTATCGAATCGAAATTGGAGGTTGTATAGATTTTGAGGAAATTTGGACCATCGTATTTATCCCTCTTCTGGTTTCTTAGGGTTTTTCATTTAGGTTGGCGCACGGGACCGCATTCATATTAGTACGAATTTCTATAAGTGTGTCTCTCCTAGTGAGAGTCTAGGGTGATCCCGCAGAGTGGTCCCTATGGATCCGTTTTTGTTTCCAATGCCGTGGAAATGCACGTGCCTAGAGCGGACGCAGTAGGTTTAAGTTATTTGCCAAGATTTGGCGATTATTGAATAACAAATTGATTCATACCTTTACATGACCATAACGGTCTAAGCAGCCAGCCACTTTGGCAGGGCTCGAGGTGACCACAGCGATTAATATATTTTTGTGGTTCGTTGGAATCTGCCGAAAACTCAAGTGCACACACAGCGTATACACATAAATGAGGCAAGGTTTTCCTGTGTTTTAATGAGGTTTGGTTTCGTTGATTTCTGTCCCCTTCATTTGATTTCCCCTTTCATCTTTTTTGTCTTTCATATATATTTGTTCTCCTCTATTCTTTCATGTCCTCCTGTCTTCATATCTTTGATTTCATCTTTTCTTTCGTTTGCGCGCATATTGGTCCCGGCCTACGTGCACAATTACATGTATGTTAAATCCCAATTTTAGGTGGTCCAGATCCTTATAATGAGGTGGGATTCATTGTTTGTTCCTATGCACTTGATTGCCCTTTCATCACAGCCACCTATACCTTTGGTCCGTCCCGTCCTCTTATCATGTCTTCATTCTTTTGTCGCTTTTGATTAATATTTAAAAAAAAAAAAAAAATGTTATTTTAAATTGCGCGCGCTGGGAAGCTTGGGCATTGGTTTCGTTGTAACGTGTTGTCGTTGTGCGCATTTGATTTTGAAGTTTGCAAGGGTGTTGGTGCCGTTGTGGGGTATTGTTGTTGCGTATTTTTGGGAGCTTAGGTGGTGGTGCCGCTACACGGCGCCGCTGTTGCGTGTGCTTGGGTGTTGGCGCCTTACCTGCGTCCCTTTTTCCCTTTAAATAGTTGTTTTAAATCGAGTATATATCGATACGTATTTCGGTTATTATTATTATTATATATTTTTATTTATAAATATTTCAAAAAACAATAAATTTTTAAATATTCAAAATATATTTAGATGCAAATATTTTTTTTGCCTGCCCGTAAGTATATAAAGGCACTCAATTATATTTCCATATAAATATATACATATTTATATTTTTGTATATTTCATTTCAAGATGTATTTAAAATTCATATCAATATAAATTCATTTATACCCAAATATGTTTTTCGAATCCAATTCCATTATTCCAACCATCTATATTAATTAAAATATATATATAATTAATATTTTCGAAAAATTATATAATACATATCGAATAATTCCCATCATAATATTTCATATATAACAATAATTCTATTTATTATATTATATATTATACGTATTTATCATATATATTTTAATCTTATATATATATATAGCTATATATTATTTATAAATATATTAATATATTTTCAAAAAATAAATATTTATCTATATTTATTTATTAATATTATATTTAATATAATTATATAATAATTAAGTTCAATAATATTCATTAGTTTTAAAAATTATCGATTAATATTTAATAATATCCATTGTATATTATATAATTAAAATCAATTATATCCATTACGATCGGAAATTAATATAAAAACCTCATATTTATATCAGAATATATCGCCCTCCCCAGTGGCACGGCGCCACGCAAACGCGCCTCCCATCAAGGCCACGCAAATCTACATAGCACTACGACATCACGGACGTAATTTCGCCACGCGGTCTGCCCACACACTATAGAAGCCGCCAATTATTCCGTTCACCAGCGACACGCCGCATTTACACCAAGCACGTTTCGCGCTCCCCGATGGCACGGCGCCACGTAAACGCACTTTCCACCAAGGCCGCGCAAATCCGCATGGCACTGCGACATCACGAACGTAATTCGCCACACGGTCTGCCCACACACTGCAAGCAATCATATCCCACTAGAAACAAACATTTCTGAGTCCAGCTCCGCAACGCCGTTTCCTGTACTACATGTGCACCACAAACTGGCCACTTCTGAGTCCAACTCCGAAAGGCTCTTTCCCGTTCTACACTTGTACCATACAAACTAAGTCCAGCTCCAAAAAGCTCTTTCCCGTACTACATTTGCACTACAACTGGCCAGGTCTGAGTCCAGCTCCGAAAAGCTCTTTCCCGTACTGCATTTGGACTACAAACTGCCCACTTCTAAATCCAGCTCCGAAAAGCTCTTTCACGCACTACATTTGCACTACAAACTGGCCAGGCCTGACTCCAGCTCCACAGTTAATGAAGCGCCAAGTCTCCAAAATGAGCGCTTCGTACGAGACTTCCTCCAAAAGTGAAGCGCCAAGTCTCCAAAACGAGCGTTTCGTACAAGACTTCCTCCAAAAGACTTCCTCCAAAAGTGATGGAGGAAAGTCTCCAAAACGAGCGCTTCGTACGAGACTTCCTCCAAAAGTGAAGCGCCAAGTCTCCAAAACGAGCGCTTCGTGCACGACTTCCTTCAAAAGTGAAGCGCCAAGTCTCCAAAACGAGTGCTTCGTACAAGACTCCCTCCAAAAGTGAAGCGCCAAGTCTCCAAAACGAGCGCTTCGTACGAGACTTCCTCCAAAAGTGAAGCGCCAAGTCTCCAAAACCAGCGATTCGTGCGAGACTTCCTCCCATCAAAAGTGAAGCGCCGAGCGCTTCGTGCGACACTTCCTCCAAAAATGAAGCGCCAAGTCTCCAAAACGCAATCTCACCTGCATTTCGCGCCCTCGACACGCGCGATCTCCGCAGAGGGTTGCGTTTCGTGGTGCTCCGGCGGCACCGCCGGCCTTAAGAGAGAAAGAAAAGAAGAGCGAGAGGTGAAGATGTGAGATGTGCAGATGTGAAGATGTGAAAATGTAGATGTGCAGATGTAAAGATGTGAAGATGAGCAGAGATATAGGTGAAAATGTAGATGTGCAGATGTGAACATGTAAAAATGTAGATGTGCAGAGGTGAAGATGTGAAGATGTAGATGAGACGTAGTTCTGCAGATGTTTTTTACGAGAAAACCTTCGCAAACGCTCTCGGGAATACTACAGTATGTATTATGCATATTAATAATATGAATATGTATTATATATAAATATGTTTTTATATGGATATATGAATATATGATATTTCATGAATATGAAATAATATGTTGTTTGGATATTCCTGAGTTGTATGTTTGAATATGGAATATATTTTGGGGTTATGTTAGTTTCTGGGTGTGTTTCGTGCCGTATGTAAAGATTAAAATAGTGGTATGCTTCGGGGGTATGTTTCGCCTAAATCGGCCATCCCGACCCTATATATAACCCTGGGGGCCACACGAAACGATTTGGAGGAAACAAAATACAGACATCCCAACAGGTGGAGATCTCATGTCATCCATTTTGGAAGGCGCCATTCGGGAGTTCAAAAACCAGACGACGAAAAAGGCCGCCGCTCTGGCTGAGTATGAACAAGAACAACATGAAGGTCAAAGAACGTTAGATCGCATTCACGGCATGGATGATGTGGCTGAACCTCTCTGATCTCAATTTTGTGGACACTAAAAGAAAACTATGAGCAGAATCCGGAAGCGGAGATTGAGACATTCTCCCACCACAAGGGGCGTGAGAGAAAGGAGACGTAGCCGAGAATCCCAACAAAGAAAAGAGTCGTTGGTGCGCATGCTTCGATCGTCTCTGGCAGAAAAGGAAGTTGACCAGCATCTGCTCAGGATCAAGAAGCAGTTTGGGATGAAGCTCATGATGGAAAAAAGAAGATGGAGCAGTATTCTGTGCACCCGGAAGATGAGGAGTCAGGGGTGCATTCCATTTGCTGATGGAGATGAGCCAAGATCACTCCAACCGAGCGCAGGACGTCGGATTGAGCACATCGGCAACACCAATGGCCGATACATGAGGACTGTCTTCAACACCTTCTGGAGAGACCCAGATCGCAATGATGTCCCTTTGGGAATCACAGAAGGGGTCGATTTGATACCGTGTACACATAAAGGGCCATCTATGGCTGCTACTCCACAGGCTCTTGGAACGCTTCATCCACCAAAGCCCGCTTGTGCATGCTATTGCACCGTCACCTGCCGAGGAGGGTGACACTGGGAAAGGTTTCCTCCAATCCCAGACACATCCAATGTGCCAGGCAGCACGCCTGCGACGAGTCCGAGCAGAAAGAAAACGAATTCGAGCCACGAACCTGCTGGACTCGTAAGATGGACTAGAAGACAGAAAGAAAAAATAACGCTTTCGAGTCACTCCGGAGCAAGAACCTGCTGGAAGTGACCATGCCAACTTGCGAAAAAATGAAGCGGAAACACCACCAATCGCCTGGACGGAGGGTTTCGCCTGCTGCGGAGAGAGCCGGTATCTTTGGCGATGAGCCAGAAGGGCATAGGAGGGCAAGGTGAAGAAATTCCAAAGGACGTCAAAGGACTAAGAAGGCGGGTGCAGTCTGAGAGCTTCACTTAGAGAAGGATTCACGCGAAAAATCAGCAGCTAGGCTGGATCGAGTCGCTCCGCGTTGCCAGGAGTGGAACAAGTGGACAAGGTTTCCACTGACGGGAATTCGTCTGGTTGTCCACCTCGATGACTTGAGTGGACGGAAAGAGCCTCTGATTGAGCACGATGGAACCCTTCCATCGTGCCAGGCACAAATTCGGCAAGCTCTCCAGGAATGAGAGCCATGAAGGACAGGCCGAGAAATCAAGAAAGGACACGAGAGGCCCATGTGGCTTGCCCCAATTGGGTGGATCGAGTGAGGCCGATCTACCTTTTCAACTGGGCACAAGCAGGAAGCCACAGTGACGGCTTCCTAATGTGAAGGGCCAACTTGAGTATTGAACCAGATCCTTGGCATGCCTTAAGATTGCGCCAGGCACCAGGGAGCAATAAACCAACACGTATCCCAGTCAAGCCGTTCATCTTCGAAGAAGCAACCTGGCCGTTGGCATTCAGACATGTTCGTTCGATGCATGGCTTGCTGATGTGATCTGATGTGGGTGGATCAGTGGATGACTCCACAGCATTCTCCACAGATGACAATTTCCTCAACAAAACCATGGAGGAAATGGACTTCACACAGCGCAATCGACCTGAGTGCAGGGTGAACCCTGCCGGATCGAACGACTAAGCCAGGATGAGGGTAGGATGGCTCGGCTCCACGAGTTGTTGAGACGATGTCCGACTACGTCCTGAAAAGACAAAGGACTCAAACAGCAAGGATCAGGGTAGGTCAGGGTGGTCCCAGGTTATAAGTCGTGAAGTTTATATGAGCCAAGGACAACTCCTCAATCTGGGCAGGAGCTTCCGTCACACCGCGATCCACATTCATGGCATGTCGGATGCAAAAAACGATCCACCTGCCATGTTCACCATATTCTAGTTTACTTGAAACTAGTTGACGAGTTCTTTCCAAAATCAATCAAACCAGAAAACATAAATGAAAAACAAAGGAAACAACGCACAATGATTGCAAATCATATTCTTGGTCAATGGAGGGTGTTCATGCAAAAATCTGTTGATCATCATGATGTTTTTCTTGTCCGTGGGGTAATTGGCGGGGATCGATGATCCGATACTCGGGAGTCTTCTTCGTCTCTTATCTTCCTGATCATCCAGTCATCTATGCCATGATACCATCTAGCTTTGGATGGTGTTGGAGGTGTCCGAGTCACAAGCACACAAATGTCACCAAGTGCCCGACACCGTATTTTCCTACGAACGTTCTTTTGCAAAACCACTATTTGCTCTCGACACTGCTCTCGACATGATCTCTGGGCATTGGTGCCATCTGTGACGGTTTCATCCACAGCCGCAGCAGCAGGGCTTCTGGAATTCAGGCTCGGCAGGTCTCTCCTCTTCCAGAAGCTGCACCTTCTCCTCCGTGGCCTATCCAAATTAAATGTTGAAAAGCACTCCCACAAAGATTGACTGAATCCCCCATCTCCAGTTGGTTGGAGGTCCCGTACCCATATTTATGCCAACTGCCACCACTTTTCCAAAGGGCTACTGGGAACGCCTCCCTCCGGCGCTATGACTCCACAAGAGACTACTGTATTGCTGTACAGGTCATGGTTGTATCATGTACATGTGAATTCTTTCTAAGACAATGTGTAAGTAGCGACGCTAGTAAAGAGAACATGTCACTGCGTCAAGACGAGTTCACAATCCACAACCCATCACAGCACACACCCGTCACTAACAAATGTGTGTATATATATATATATTCGTCCCCGTCCACCTTCTCCGGGCAACAGCGGCTCCGGCCATAGGCCAAGGCCACATAAGACAAAGTGTTGATGGGCGCGGTTAATCCATAAGCCTACGGCATGAGGGGCTTTTGTTCGCCACATGGACTGGAGAAGGAGTGGTATTCCAACAACCTCCATCATCTACATTGGTGCAAACCACTGGTAGCCTCTTGACACGGAGCATCAAACGGTGCCAACTTCCGAACATTCACTCGTTTTGACTCACCCACTCCAAAAAGCAAGCAAAAAAACATAATCCACGTAGCAGGACGCTGAAACTATTGAGTGCGAGCAGCCAAGAGAACAAATAGCAAGGCTCTCCATGGTTCGTTCCAATCAAAGGCATCATACAAGGGACATCTTTCTCGCTGAAAAGGATACTCATCCTTGGCAACACGTCGTGGAAGGCACGAGCCCAGCCAAAAAGAATTGGTAGTTTCTACCGTTGTAGGGCTGAAGGCGGGATGCATATATATGCATCGCAGCATCACATAACAAAAGAGTCTTACAATGTCTGGCATTGTCTCATATGGACCCGGTCAGCTTTTCCAACAAGCATCAACAAGGATTCGAGGAAACCCAAGCCAATCTGCCAATCTATGTTGACCTCCCTAAGATTCCTTCACCACCAACTCACACAGTGAGGGGTTGTTGGTCAAAAGCCCTTGCAAAAGGGTTCCGGAAGCTCGAAGAGTCCACCGTGCCCACTCTCCGTTGAAACTGAGCACCATTGAGCCGTGCCAATCCTTCCACCATCGGACCCCAAAAACTCCCGCCCAGGCTCACAATCGAAGGGCGTGCCAATTTCCAGGCGGTAGTGAACATAGGTCCACAAGACATACACAGAGCCAAGAAGAAGGCCCGCGCCCAAGCTAGAGCAGTTGAAGGGAATTCGACTCAGGAGGAAGCTGACCTCAATCCATGCGACCGGACAGGTCACAAGTAGTATCCGTAGGGCAGAAAACAACAACTTCGTCTCATCATAGAAATGCACCAAGCATGGGCCGCCCACCACATTAAAGAATGCCAAAGAAACGGACTCTTTTCGGCTAGGAATTCGGATTAACGGATTTCATGGACTGCTTGAAGTTGCCAACCCCGTATATACATTATGTTACTGTACTTATGGTTGTAAAACCTGTTCTATCCCTCTCACTCTGAGTACGCGCGCAGACCCTTTGGACGGTTCAGAGTGTCACTGTGGACACTCAGGTCACACCAGCGACTAGCAAGACAAAAATAGGAAGCAAACATGTGAGAAAGTCGACCAAAACGCGTGAAGTCGACCACGTGGATTGTAAAACCTCTTCATGGGGGAGCTTCTTCATCAACTGTCTAGATTAAGTCATTCAGCGATGGTCTTCACAACTCTGAGGAACAACATTGAACAGCAAAACACTGCAAGACACCCCACGCCCCGCCGGCGCCCCACCCATTAAGAGGAAAGGTGCCAGCAATAAAGCCCAGTTGATGCCGTGAATGAAGGCATCCTTTGTGGGTGCCACAATCGTAAAACAGGATGCAACGAATTTCAGAGCCAGGATGTGTGTAGCCACTCACCTCTCAACTCTCCATCTTCAGATCCCTGCCAAAAGTGCAAGGCTCCTCACTAAGCACTGAAACTGGGCAACGACTCAGGAATCGGGGCCACCCAAGCATGACCAGCATCTTCCAAAGAAAACTCAAGGTTAAAGAACAAGGCCAGGACTGCGCCACCACCGATTTTTTTCTCAGAAACATCCCATGCAGCCTTTGGAAGCTTCAGCCACCGTGGGCCATGTGGAGCCTGTGAACCCTGTGGACGTTGTGCAAGCGATGACTGTGCTGAAGAATCTGGATTCAGCCAGGCTCTAGACATGATGAGGTTAAAAATAAGGAAAGCTCCGTGCACCCCACCACACACTGGGACAAAACCCTGCCGTGAAGCATACAAATGATGCCACTGAGTACGGCATATATACAGCTCCACCATGGATGATGTGTGAATGTCCACTTGCAGGCCGGGGCGCCAAGTAGTCAACGACTGGCTTGAGCTCTACTTCATCCATCATCTCTGCCGGCGCAAAGCCCATCCATCCCCAATAGATGTAAGTGATGCCAAATGCCCTGCAAGTGTGCGCCAACTTACCGAAGTTTGCTCTATATGGCTGCCACATGCAGGTCGGTGTTCAACATTTGTTCGGCAAACCTTTGCAAGTCAAAACCATTGAAAGTCGGCTCAGTTCCTCCTCTCAAACATCCCTCAGTTCCCTCGGTTGCCATGCCTACGCGGTTCCGCGGAGCGGTCGAACGGAGCGGGCGAGAGCGGAAGGACGCCCAGGCGCTGTGGTTGGACGTAGGAGTCGATGAGGACCACTGCTCGGACCCACCTGGTGCGGTTGGATGAGCTGAAGCGCAGCTGAAGCAACTGAAGCTGCAGCTATTCCTGCAAAAAAATTGTTGTATAATAGGGGTTTGCCTTCTGGAGTGGGTGTTGCGAACTGGTTTATTTTTCTCTCATGAGGTGTGACTAGGGTCTTTTTTCCAAACATGAGAGTTTTTGGGACGAAGGTGCAACATTCGGACCAGGAAATGAAATACACCGGCTTGAGGTCTTTTGGAAGTCTCCTTTTTTTCAATGCACACCCAGATTTGCGCCCGTTTTTAGCCAAATCACAGAGGTTCCACCGTATCGCTGCTGCGGGGAAGCTTTGGCAGCCCGGCCAGCGCCGCCACGAACTGTTGCACCATGGTCTGAGCCACCCAGCGGAGCCGTCGGGTCGTTGGGAAGAAGCTGAGCTGATGGAAAAAAATTGGCCTGGGGGAGTGGCTTGCAATCCAAGCATTGGCTAAGGCTGAGGTGGCAAGTCATTAAGTTTCACTCGCACTGTTTCAGCGATTCTTTGAAGCGGCCAGTGAGTAAGTGAGCAAGCGACCTCCTTGGTCGCTTGCAGAGGCACAGCATGGCGCTGCGACCTCCTTCACCGTCCCCATTTTCAGACCAGTGGCCACAGTTTGCAAGATGAAGGCTTGCCGGCTTTGGAACATGAAGTAGTACAGCCCCTGACATCAACTAAGACTGAATCATCCAGGCAAGCTGAAGATCGCAGCTTTTTGGGGGCCCCAGTGTGGGTTGGTTTCATCACCTACTTTGCGGGGCTGTCTATCTTGAAGGTCTCTGATGCTACGAGATTGGTTGAGGGCCCAAATGGCCCAAATACAAATGCCTATGACAATCAATCCATCTATGATATGCCGCTTCTCATGCCTAGGGGTTTGCATGTGAACATCACATCATGTGCTTCCTGCCCCCACGGAATCGCAGCCTCACCCCTCAGATAAATGTAAAGGTACATATGCACCGCGAGATGCACCACGAAGATCAGCGCCCACACACCTGCGCCCACGAAATCAGCGTTTTACCACGTTCCCCAGAAGTTGTGAGATTGTCTGAGCCAATCATATGGTTTCTAAAATTAAAACGATCTCAATTCACAAAACGAAAGCAACATACAACAGCTTTGATTGAACTAAATGAGATCAGGGTCCGACAATTGCTGGTTTGAAGCATCATGAAGCATCAGACCGAAGAAACGCTGTTTTCAGATGCCTCGAAACATCACGTAGGAGGAGCAGGATAGTACCCCTGAAGTGGCGAAAGCAATTGGCCACTCATTGGCCTGGAAAAGGAGTGCAGACATGTGCAGACCTGCTTGGCCTAGAAGAGCTTTTCTGCTTGCACAATCCCCCTTCATGTTGATGAAAACCTGACTTGGTTCCACCTGGCGCTACAACGAGTGCATGGGTCACGTGACAAAAATGATGTGTCCTCGCAGTCTTCTCGCAACCTGGGCGTGAAACCCCTCGCCCGAAACCCCTCACTCCCGGTGCCTGAAAGGTCGGCTGAATGCTGGTCATACAACGGCGATCGTCTGACGCTCCAAAGCAGTCTTCGTCTTTGCAAAGACGCTCGGAAATTCTGATTCGCAGCTCTGAAACCAAGAAAGCGGCTTAATTTACAAATGGCTTGCGTGGGTGTGAAACAAACCCTTTTCGATCGCCAACGGGGTTGTGCTTCCTCATTCTTCAGCCGACTGGTACCAACGGAGGCCTGCTGATGCGCTCTAGTCGTGTTGGCACAGTGTACAGATTTGGTTCATCTGACCGCGAGGAGCGCTCAGGAGCGCCAAGCGGTCCCGACCTTTTTCTGCATGTCATTCCTGGATGTCCCTTTAGGAATCCAAATTGGGGCTGCAAGTGAACCCGAAACCACCATGCTGCTCGAACATGCTCCGATCCACAGGCAACCACAGGCGAACGTCAACAACAGCACTGAACGAGCGAGAATCAGGATGTGAGGTTTGTTTTCCCATGTGAAGCAGGGGTGAAATGGTCTGATGCATGTGACAATGTCCCCATAGTCCCGGCCAGTTCATGAGATCGGCGCAATGGCACACAAGCCAGCACTCAGTGGTTCCATCCTTTCTGGCCTGGCGGCAGCAACCCAGCATATTTGGGAAGTCAATTGAAATCGTTTCAGCAAACAACGGAATCGCTGTACCCCGTTGGGTGAGGAGCACTGTTCAATGCAATCAACAGGAGTGCATACATACAGCGGCCACCTGCCTAAGTAGTGCAATTCATACAAATCCCAGAGTCGCCCCATCCAAAGATCCACCCTGAGTAGTCCAAAACCCAGTACCTTCTGCCACCGGAATCACCACCCTGTCGCACCCTCCGTTCACCAGGAAGGCGGTGGCAAAGCTCAGGCCCAAGGGCTTTGGCTGCCGCGCTTGCTCCCGAAGCCGTTCGGCCTGCCGTGTGGCAACAAATAAGCACGAGTTGGGGGGAGTGACCGGTAAAGGACATGGGGATTGGGCGGAATGTGGGGGTTAGAGAAAGTGAATATACTTGCAGATTCTTTTGGCCTGTGACCTCCACATGTCCTAAGACTACACGGCTGATGAGAAGACAAATCTTCACAAAGGTTCCTGAACCAAGGCTAAAGGCCGCGGCATGCCACCCCTGTGACATTCTTACCCTTGGCAACACACCCAGCAGCAGGGATCTCGTGTTGATCGCCAGAATTGCATTTTGCAAAATGAGGTGGCGACAATATTGAATGAGATCGGCCAAAACACATAACTGAACACTGGAGGCCCATGCAAAATCCCAACTGCATTGTCAAATGCACTTTGTAGCCCCCTCAACAATCAAACTTGCCAAAGTGGCAAAGCCTAGCTGGTGAGATTTCATCTAGCTTGTGAACCTACCAAAGAATCCAAAGGCCTTATTGTGATACTCATCCACTCCTCGCCGTGCACCATCTCTCCATCAGAAACCCAACACCCAAGACTCTCCAGTGTGTTGGCAATCCCGGGTGACTTGCCTCTGAAGACATGAAGCCTTGAAGCCCTGCTGACGACCTGAAGCCTTGAAGACCTGAAGCCTTCTGACGACCTGAAGCCTTGAAGTCGTGAAGACCTGAAGCCTTCTGACGACCTGAAGCCTTGAAGACCTGAAGACCTGAAGCCTTGAAAACCTGAAGCCTTCTGACGACCTGAAGCCTTGAAGACGTGAAGACCTGAAGCCTTCTGACGACCTGAAGTGTTCTGCCGACCTGAAGCCTTCTGACGACCTGAAGCCTTGAAGACCTG